AGGTGTGTTTGATAGTGAAATCGATTAGGATTGAGTTTGATTGAAATCCAACATTGGTATCAGAGCTAACATTAGGTTTTTTCTGGTCTATCTTGGCTGTTTGTGAAACCTAGGGTTTATACAAATTGGGGGTTTCTTGATAATTGGTCAAATTGGTATCCCAGGGCTTGAAAACCCCTAGATTATCCTGTCAATTTCTTTGAATTGGTCCAAATTTGATCCAAAACTTTTTTAGGGTCTCCTGTGTCAACCTTAAATCCAAACACTAACCCTTCACCATGACAACTACACAAGTTGAAATCACCCAATTCGATGGAAAAATTGATTTCAACAGTTGGAAGAAAAAGATAAAGGTCTTATTATCACATAATAAGGTAGCCTTGGCTGTAGAGAAAGATATAACCAAATGGTCAGAGGAGATATTGAAAAAGAAAGCAAAGGTGGACGAGGAGGCGTACAACCTGATTATTATGAACCTCTCCGACAGCGTCCTGAGAAAGGTAGACGGTTATGAAACTCCAATTGCTATATGAGGGTCAAATCCCTTTATGCTTTACAGTTTGCTTCTAACTTAGCTTACTTAAAAGGTGTTCTGTTTACATATAAAATGGATAGCTCTAGGACCACTGATGAAAATCTTGACGAGTTCTTGAAAATGACCCAAGTGTTGAAGGGTACAGATCAGGAACTCAGGGACTCTAGCTTAGCTATGATCTTGCTAAATTCCTTTACCAGAGAGTGCCAGGTTGTAAAGAATGCCCTTCAATACACTGGTACTGTCCCAAGCATAGACTTAATAGTCTCAAGACTAAAGCTAGAGAATTAGAGCTGAAGGTACAAAGAAGAACCGATAATAATTTGTTTGTTAAGGAACCGATAATAATTTGTTTGTTAAGGGAAAAGGTGAATTAAACCAGTTAGGGAACAAGAAAAGAGGAAAGATGAACCATAAAATGAAGAAAGAAACCAGAAAGTGTTTCTGTAATAAAACTGATCGTTTAAAAAGGAATTTCCTATGCCTGACTTAAGAAACATAAACAAGGGAACACTGAAAACAAGCTACTAACCTCTAGTTCTAATATTGAAGAATATAAAGTCTTTTAACTGTGTCCAAAACTACTCAGCCAAAGATAAGATTTCAAAGATTTTAAACCACACAAATACTGACAAAGAAAACAAATTTTTAAATCCTGAAGATAAGATTTTAAAGGCCGAACGACTTCGTAACAAATTGGTACCCAAAAAGTTTGGAAATGACAAACAGGTATTTTCTGTCATATTCTGTTAAGGATTTTCATTTGTTAAAAGATAGTATAGGAGGTGTTTGTCTAAGTTTATAAGCTGGTCAAACTTGCTTATAAGCTCTAAAATTAAGCTGACCTGTTTGTTTATAATCTTTTTGAGCTTATAAGTTGAGCTTATAAGCAAAAAAAAATTAGTTGGGGGGGAGGTACTTTTTTTTTTGGCTTATAAGTACTCTGCTTATAAGCTAGTTTGACCAAGTATATTACCACATTATCCTTATTTAATTTTAAAATTCCATAGTATAACCTTATTTAATATAGTACCCTTTTTAGTCATTTTATAATAAAATGTACTTATAAGCCACATTTTACCAAACACGTCAACTACTTATCAGCCACTTATAAGTACTTTAACCAAACACGTAATTGTTTAAAATTTCAAATGCTTATAAGCTAAAATTAGTTTATAAGTACTTGTTGCTTATAAGCTAATTTTCATAAGCTCAGACAAACAGTCCCATAGTAATTTCATGCAAGGAGCTTGACACGTGTCCCTAACAGTTGACTTTGTTAGTAAAAGAAGGAGAAAACGAAGTCTTTTAGCTTTTCGTTTGTTGCCTCTTCCGATCTTCGTTCTTTTTCTTTAAAGGAGTTCAACCAAATCAACGAGAAACCATCTATGACTACCAGTGAAACGAAAACTGACGACAGTGGAGGACGAGTTAAAACCGACGATAGTGGCAGAGTGAGTTTCACTAAATGGCAACGAACCCTAAACGGAGATGATAGACAGCATTTGAGGGAGAGAATCATTGGGTAGCGGCAATGGTGGAGGACGGCTGAACGAACGTCGGTGTTATTAACAGTGCTTTGACTTTGGAAAAACCATCTACAACAAGTGAAGGAAAAAAATAGAGAAGCGGCGTTGTAGGTGTATGCATAAGGAATATTCGGAGAGAGGAGGGAAGGTTGGTGACGAAAAATAACGATGGACAAACAATCGACGACGAGTGAGGAAAATAATCGTAGGATATTGGCGACAATGGACTAGGGCTAAAGGAACAACAACTACAGTTGATGATGTAATGTTGTTTACAGGTTGACGGTAGATAAATCGTCGATTATAACCAAACAACGAAAACCGAAGGTTAACAGAGTAGGTAATTTCATCTCATTTGATTTTGATTCAATTAATCCTTTGTTGCCTCTAATTCAACCTGGAACGACTAGTCTGTTTGTTCTCTCTCTCTCTCTCTGTGGGGCTGGGAGGTTGGAGGTGGTTTCAATTTTTCTTGTTTCTAGAACCATTGGTCTGTTCACTCTCTCTGTGGGGTTGGGAGGTTGGAGATGGTTCCTTTTTGGCTTGTGGGAAGAGTGTGAGGTATGGGTTTGGGGAGTACTTCAGGTGCTGGATTCGTTGGTGTGGAGATGTGGGGTGCTTTGTTAGGTGGACTGTTGTTTGCGTGGTGTTTGGGGGTGTTGTCCACGTTTTTATTTTTGTTTTCCCTTTATTTTATGGATGAACTGATCTATGTTTTTGCTTTCTAGTTGTTGATATTGTGGGCTGCCTAGGGCAGTTTTTTTTGTTCTCTAGACTACCTAGTTTTGTTTTGCTATGTTTCTGTGTGGGGAGTGATGGCTGTTCATGGTTTGGTTGTGGTTGTAGGCATATAGAGAATTTTGGTTTTTGGTTTTTTTTTTTCTTTCCAGGCCTTGTAGGAGAGTAGTCATGTTGATTATTCTGCTTGGTTGGGCTGGTTTTCTACAAGAGGATGTTGTTGTTGGTTTTAGTTATTGTCAAAGTGCTTAAACTTTGTTTTTTTGGGGCTAGTTTGGTGTGATGGTGTAAGTCTGTATGTTTGGTGAAGTTGCTGCTCCAGTGTGGCTGTTCTCTTCTTATTGGCCTTTTGTGTGTTGTCCTTTTTGGAGCAGTCTGTTGTGGTGGTGTGTTGATCCTACTGGTGTGGGTTTTTAGCCTTTTTTTGTTGTTATTGTGAGTTCTCCAAGTGCAGAGTTTTTGCTAGAGCGTGATTGCTCTTTTTTTTGTTGGCGTTTTGTGCTTGAGTTTGTGGTCCTCCTCGAAGACTTTGTATTTTTTGTTAGTTGTTTTTTTTTCTCTTCTTTGGTTTTGCTGTGTTGGAGGCCTTGTGCCTTTGTAAAGGTTTTTCTCCTCCTTAGTTGCTTTCGTTTTTGAATTATTGATCTTTAGTTGGTGAAGTCTTTAAATTGATTGATCTTTAATTGCTGCTTAATCTGATTATATTGTACCTTCATGATATAGAGGCGTGTAAGTTTATGGGTTGACCCCCCCGTTAACAACGCCATGTATTGATCTCATTATATAATGCTTTGCTGTAGTATTAAAAGAATACAAGGTCTGGTGCTAAATTTTGATGTTAAAATTATACTGTGTTAGCTAATATACGTAGAGGAATAGGCTGTATAGTGTAAAAAGCTTAATGGATTTATGATATGCTGTAGTTATGAAAAATGCTTTCAATAATTTATTTAATCTAGGTACAATTGGCTATAAAGCGTATGATAGTATGAGTTGTGAATTGGCCACTGTGATTATAGTCTTTGCCCTGTGATTCTCTATAGTTGTTTGGGTAGGTAGTAGTTGTGCAGTAAATTTGTTTTGTGTTTTTATTTGTTTTTGTTCTTAAATCTTAATTTTATCTGATGCAGCTATGTTTCTAATTTCTGATCATCTTTGTTTGTTTATTGAAAACCATGGTACCTCTTTTTGTTTGTCTACACTTTTCTGAAAATCAGAATGGCGAAGCCCATGAAGAAAATTGTCAAAATGTAACTCAACAAATATAATTGAAGATTTATGCAATATTTAGGAGTTGGTAACAGAAGCATCTTGGAAATTGCTTCTGCTTGCTTTGTAAATCTTCCATGTAAACAAATTTTGTTCTATGAATTCATAGATTTTGTTTATTTGCAATTTAGGAAGAATTTCATTACAAATTTTGTTATTTTGTATGAATGATTTCTTTTAAATCATGAAGAATTTCATTATACATTGCTTCAGCCACAAGTAAGCAATTTTATTTTGCTGCTTTATTTGTATACATTCACTTTCAAATTTTGTTACCAAAACAGGGACAAATTGGTAATTTGTTGTGTCTTATTTTTTAACAAACTCATAGGGACAAACTAGTTATGTCATTAACTTATAATAACTTGATGGCATAATCGTAATTCACCATAATTGTATGGGTATTTACGTAATTGAATGAGTTGATGACTCATGAATTAATAAAAAATTAAAATAACAAACTTCTAAGGGTATTCTAGTCTTTTTCATCATTTTTGTCATTTAGCAAATATAAATCCTAATAGAAAATGATAGAAGGTGCCTATTTATCATTTCTAAACCTTTTGCGTACCCAGTCGTCTTTATGGCAAACTTTGGGCAGGTATAAATCGTCCCCCCGATTTTAAACCACACAATGATTTTAACTGAAGAATCTCTTAACTGTGTCCAAAACTTATCAGGCAAAGATAAGATTCCAAAGACTTCAAACCACACAAATACTGACAAAGAAAAAAATTTTTAAATCTTTTTCGCGCATTGTTCATGTGCATTGCTCAGGCGCACTATGAAACACACTCTGGAAGAAGCACATGCCCGCTACAGTACTTCACTAGTTCACTTAAGCTACAGTACTTTAACGCTACAGTGTTACTTGAAGCTCGAACTGAAATTTTACAAAATCTGGAAAATTTGTAAGAGTCACACGGATTGCCAGCGTGGACTCATTTTTGTATAAAAACATTTCAAGAATCATTTGTAAGCTAAGCTGAAAGATTAATAAAAGAAATCAGTTCGGGAAGTATCCAATTTTCTCTCAAAGTCCTTGTTTGTTTCCTGAGAAATTTTCTGCATTTTCTGTTTGTTTCCCCAGAAAGGTTTGCGACTTTCTGCTTCTCTTCTCATCTGATCTTAGGACTTTCACATCTCATAAAAAATGGAAAGAAGAATCTATGAAGCAGCGGTAGAGGGGAATATAATTTCCTTGCTTAACTTGCTTCAAGAGGATGCTCTAATTCTTGATAGAATTACTGTGAGCTGTTACGGAGAGACACCTTTGCACATAGCTTCCATGCTTGGTCATGCAGAATTTGTGCAGGAAATTCTGGGTCGTAAGCCTGAGCTTGCCGGAGAGCTTGATTCCCGTAAATCATCACCACTTCACTTAGCAACTTCAAAAGGGTACTTGGATATAGTTAAAAAATTGGTATCGGTTAATCCTGAAATGTGCCTTGCTCGTGATCGTGACGGAAAAAACCCAGTACATATTGCAGTCATCAAGGGTCGTGTTAGTGTCTTAAAAGAGTTGGTTAAAGTGAGACCTATTGCGGCTCGAATGTTGATGGAACGAGGTGAAACAATTTTACATGCCTGCGTGAGATTTGACCAGTTGGAGGCAATGAAATTCTTGATGGAGCAAATGAGTGATCATGAGTTTGTGAATTCTAAGGATGATGATGGCAACACTGTATTGCATCTGGCGGTGGCAGATAAACAAGTGGAGGTATGTATGAAGAGTAGGACTAAATTAATAATTAATTACTGTATTTTCGCTTATATTTATCTGTGTAAATTGGCTAGTGTTAGAATTAGATTTTCTCCTTAGGTGCGCCAAATTTTCTCTCAATTGATTCCATGTAAAGCTAAGCACACATAAGAAACTTTAAAACTGAGCCAGGAAAGACAACAGCCCCAACAAGCATGTGTACGAGTTGGAGTGAGTAGGTCCAGCCCAACTCAAATCTCAAGAATCGGAATCGGAACTGTACAATACCGATTCCTGAGATTTAGAAACCGGAACCAGTACTGTAATTGAAACCTTTCCGATAGCTTCCAGTTCCAGGTATCCTGTGGTTCCGGTCAACCCGAAATTTTTGCTCACCCTTATTAACGAGTACTTCATACCATCATGAAAACTCTCTTACATAGAACATCAATGTGAAAGGCTAATTTTATATATATATTGTGTGTATATGTGTGTATGTGTCACTGTAAGGGTATGTATTTATATAATGCTTTTGGATTTGTTGATGCAAATAAATTTGTTCCGTGTCTCATAATATATATACTAAGCAACGATTTAATGTGCAGGCAATACAGTTTTTGACTACTATTAATGCAATAGAAGTGAATGCTCTGAATAAAGGTGGCTTTACAGCCTTGGATATTTTAAAACAAAGCAGAAGAGATTGGAAAGATTATGAAATTGGGGAGTTGCTTCGAAGTGGGGGAGATATTTGTGCAGAAGACATTGCTATATCGAAGCATGATCTTGGCTCCAAACAAACTACAACCTTAACATCTCATGGCAATAATCAAATTAATATGTCGCGCCCTCAAGGTAACCATACAAAAAAGTCCTTTGAGAAGAAAGGTGATTGGTTGAAAGAAATGAATAATGTCTTGATGGTGATAGCATCACTGATATCTACTGTAACATTTCAAGCTGGTCTGAACCCTCCTGGTGGTGTATGGCAAGAGACTAAAAAAGCCCAAGATGACGCCCCCACATCTGATCCATATCACGAGGTAGCCCTCACATCTGATCCATATCACGAGGCAGGGGAGTCAATAATGGCTGATACATCATCATCTCACTATTATAGTTTGTCTAATTTGTTTTTCACTTCCAATACCATAGGGTTTGTTGCGTCTCTTTGCATCATTTTATTGCTCGTGAGTGGTTTGCCATTTATTAAACGCAGGTTGTTTACATGGATTTTGATGGTGATCCTGTGGGTTGCGATTTCGGCATTAACACTTGCTTATCTCTTCTCTCAAACTTTTATTACAGGCTTGAATGAACCGCTCATTGGAAAGATATATGCTACAGAGATGATATTATTTGTATGGATGGGCGTGATGGGGATTCTTCTTTTGAGTCACACCATTCGTCTTATAAAAAAGATAATAATCTATTTCATAAAATTAACAAAAGCACGAAGGGATACAAATGGTCCAAATGGTGATGAACAATGTCATAATGTCTGATATCTACAACATTAATAATTAATGTGTAGAAATTATGTTTTTGAGAGACTATATGTACTTTCATGATAGTGTTTCACATTTTATTTTTCTAGGTATGTAAAGCGTTTATGTTTTGTGCATGTAACAAAAGTGAAGAACTTGTTGAGTAATGGAGATGTAACAAAAGTGTTAGTTTTCCAAGACTTTACTTGCAATCTTTTAAACAATAATTTCTTCGGATCCACTTCTTTAATTTTGTGTTTCTCATGCTTAAAGATAATATATCTGGAGAAATACCCGATTGTTGAATGAATTTGAGATTGTTTCACTGGTAACATCCAACCTCTATCGGAAATTTGAGTTTCCTTTACTCACTTAACCTTTGCAAAAATAAATTATCTGGAATAATACCTCTATCATTTAAAAATTTAAAAAGGTTAGAGGTTGTTAACATAAGCCAAAGTGAGTTTGTCGGAAAAGTTCCAGCGTGAATCTGAGAAAGATTTTAGAGAATGATAATTCTTAACCTCCATTCGAATAAGTTTTACGGTGTTTTACCAATGGAGCTTTGTCAGATATCTTCTCTGCAGATCTTAGACCTTGTTTATAACAAACTCTTTGGAACAATACTAAGATGTTTCAATAATTTCAGTGCCATCGTCATGGAGAATGCTACGGGGAATGTTTTCAACTTTGGTAGCAGTTATATGGGTAAGTAATTTGTTGAGGATGCAAGCCTTTGTGATGAAAGGGGAAATGGGTAAAAATAACACTATACTTAATTTTGTAAGAAGTATAGACATTTCCAAAAACAATTTCTTTGGAGAGATTCCGGCCCAAGTGACAGACCTTAAAACATTTCTTTAGTAGACAACAGAACATTTATTGGCCACCAATCATGTTACGTACATTTTTGTTTAGAAATTGACAAATGCTCATTTACGGACTACCCAACATTCTTCCGTTACATAAACACCAAACCCACAAATATCTCCCAAGATCCATAACCCAAAAAATATTTTCACCAAAAGAGAGACGTTGGTGAGCTTCAAGAACAAGCTCTTCGCTTTGGCTGTACTGATGGCAGCCATATCTACCGATGCTCAAACCATATGCAATATGCCAGCTGCTGGTTTGATGGCGTGCAAGCCTATCTGCGACACCTCCAAACCCAACCCAGCCGACTGCAACGTGCTGCTCGGCTCTTGTGCATGCAGATATGCAATACGAACCCTTAATACCATGGACAATTGCGACCCTGTCAATGTGAAAAGCAAGAAACTAAAGCATAGACTCAGCAAAATGCTATCAGTTAACAATAGAAGTTTAAACAAAGACACCTTTAACACTCAACAAAACTGCATATCCTAACTACTCTGGGTCTAACAACCAACAACACAAGATATGTGATTTGAAAAGATGGTTTTTGTTCACTCATTAAAGAACAAAGCAAAACTAATGGCTTCATTAAAATCTCTTCTCTCTACTCTTTTCTAATAGCCAAAATGATCTACCCAAGCCAAGGGTGTCAAATATAATTTTCAGATATTTAAAGTTGACTTCAATTTAACTGCATTATACTGATACAAGTTCTTATACAATTTACACGTATCTCATGTCAGCACCTCATCTAAAATGAAGTCCACAGCTTGGTGAGACCAATTTGAAAACCCTGTTTTGCCTGCAAAAATTATGAGGCACCCAACATATGTGAATACAACACAGCAGTGATGATGTAGAGCACATAGGAAAATTTCAGTACGTCCCTCTAACCGGAGAAACAGTGTCGCAAAGCTCCACAAGAAAATCAACAGAGGCCCTAAGCTGCTCCACCTGATCTTCATAGCTCAACTCTATATTTGTAACAAAAATTTACATCAAACGGTTTATACTAAACACCATTCTTGCTCTTAAATACTCATGAATTCAGAAACATAATGTCAAAGAAATTCCCCACCAGCAATCAACAAAGCAAAATCTAACTTAGTTACTCTAGAATGTCATAAGTTCCTCATTTTGACATTAAAATATAACAAATCAAAAAGTCGAAAAACGTCATAAAATTGAATGTAGAACTATAATATTAAACTATCAAACTTGTAATATGTTATAAACTTACATTTTAATTTATCGTTCCAATATAAATTAAAATTAGCAAAATATTCACTATATATAAAGTAATGAACTTCAAAATAGAACTGCATTTTTCCATAATATACCGGTAAAACGTCGTCGCTGAGTGGAATCGCCTGTTCTTCTGCTCTTTTCCTTCAGTGTCACTGCAAAATTAACAAATATTTTAACAACAGCAATGGTAGTTGATGATTATCACTAAAGCAACAACAAGAGAATCAATAAAAATGACATTGTCTGAGAAATCTGCGGCGAAGAACGTCGTTGAACTGACAATGAGAGGCATCTCCGTCGATCTGAGGGCTTAATTTCCTAAAATTATCAAAGAAATAGCACTTACAAGAAGCCGATTGCCGAAACAAATCGCAATGCGAAGAATCTAGATCCAAAATCAAACAATTAAGTAAAAAAAATCAATGAATTTTTAAAACAGAAAAAAAAAATTGATAAATTTGAGAACCTAACCTTTAGCTTCTCTTAGATCCTCTCTCAGCCTGATGCGCTCTTGCTTCGGCCCTTTCGCCTCAAATTTTAACAAAATTAGGATCTGTTTGGCTACGGAGATAAGTGAATTCCTTCTGCTTCCAGCGAAGAGCATCAGATTCAGAAAAATGCCGAGTGCTTTGATTTTGATTATGGCGGAGCTTTGATCGGAGAAGAGAAATGGCGACGGCGAGCTTAACCGATTCGTCGTTTGCAGCTGAAGATTTTGAGTTTCTGTTAATTTGCATTTCAGTTGCGGATATTTTTGTGAAGCGCGCGAGATTATGAATTTCAAAGCTGTTTTATAGTCTAGGGTGGTTCAAAAGCGTTTTGAAAAAAGAGGTTAGCCGGTTTTGAACCGGTTTTCCTTTTTTTTTTATAAAATTTTTTTTTTTTAATTTTGTTCTAAATTAAATTATAAATATAGACAATATATTGGGAACTAAGAAAAAAAATTTAGGTTGGGATTTTAGATTGAGTGAATTAGGGATTTATTTTAGTTTAGGTTATTATTTATTTATTTAATATATAATATATATATATTTGAAACACCGGTTTAGAAAACTGGTTTTCGGTTAATCATTTCTAATTTCTCTCGAACCAGTAACCGAACCGAAAATTCGGTTTTTTGAATTTTTTGAACCGTAACCGAACTGTTTTTTTAATTAACTGATTTTTCGGTTCGGTTAGCGGTTTGATTCGGTTTTTGTATTTTTTTGAACATTCCTAATTTATACAGGTGATTAATTTAAAAACACGAAATTATTTTTAAATTTATTATAATTTTTAAATATTTTTGTTCACATACGCAGAACAACATGAAGTAATTTTAAAATCAAACATATGTCACAACATCATTTTGATATGTGTTACAATATTTTTAAAAAGAATAAATGATTACTAAATTTAGTAAAAGAGTGTAGTTTAAAACTTTAAAAGTGTCAAGTACAACCTGAATAAATATATAATATAAAAAAAATTAATTATTAGATAGTATGATACGTAGAGACTTTATTTTTTTTAAATATATTAATGTTATGAAGATTATATTATTATATATATAATATCTCAGATGGGTTTTTTTTTTTTTTTTTTTTTTTTTTTTTACTCATATTTAGATTGTCCCCGCATTTTTTTAGAATGCTCTTAAATATCTTTTGAAAAAGGTAAGGATTTTTTGATAATAAAATTGATGTTTTTAATACTTTCTAAACAAAGCGGAAAATGAAATAAAATCTATAACGGATTAATTAGTTTAATGAAAAATTATATTATCATTAAAGTATGGGTTCAATGTTTCTTAACGAGCTACTAATAATTATCATTAATTTTTCTATTTAAACATATGTTTCATGAGTTTTTTTTTTTAAATAAAAAAACAAGTTTAAAGGTATCTCTTGAACGTATTTAATGGAAAAAGGTTAAAGTCAATTTCGTCATCAATCATTCAATTATATCTTATTATTATCCTCATCAAAATATAAATATTCATAGATCTCCCTTTGTAAAATTAAAAAAATAAAAATCATAAAATTTATACTAATTAGAAAAAATATAATAAACTAATTATAAAAAATTTATATATGATAGTAACCAAATATTATACTTGTTATGCTAATTTCTTTTGGAAATAATTATGATCTTCATTTAATTTCATATCTACTCTCATGATTAAGTTTTGTTAACGATAAGTAAGGCAACATCTAGAGTTCCGTTCAATCAAATAAATATCGGCTGAGTTTCAAGTAAAATTGCTTTTTGAGTTTTATGTAACTATTCTTTACCAAAACAATCTACCTAGTTGTGTGGGAGACCCAAACTTAAAAATTATTCCAAGCCTTAGTTCGCTTTTGATGTGAGATTTGAATTTGACCTCGAAAAATTCATATACAGTTAATTTCATCAACACTTTACAATTTCTACATAGTATTAAAAATGGCTTTCAAAGGTGTAAAAATATGGGTTTTGTTACGATACATAGTTGTAATAATACAGTATACATTAACATGAAACTTATAATTTGGTAATGTGAAACTTGTAAATAAAAAACGTAAAGCATATATATATAGTTTTGCATGATTGTATTATAGACAAATCCCGATAAAATTAAATAATTTTCTAAGAAAGTTTATTGTAATTACACTGAAAGATAATAAATAAGAATATATTCATTATAAATTTAAATACACTTATTGCTCAATAATGAGTTTTCTTTCTTTTTCTATTTTTTTATCTATTTAATTTAGTTGGTTTATGTGAAGAATATCTAACTCAACGAATAATATCCATAAATAGAAAGTCTCATGCTCTGTTGGCAAAATCCCTCCCCGTCTTCATAATTATCAATGTTCACATGACACACCCCATAGCTTTAAATTTTATTCACTCTCATAAATATATAATTCAAGTAAAAACAAAAATAAAAATAAAAGGCTTTTCTCGACCCTTAAGGTTTAATTATATAACAAATTTTCCCCTAAAATTCTAGATATAACAAAAATTCATAAGCCGTTAGTAATTTGTTAATATACCATTTTGAAATTTATAACATGATAGTCAATAAATATTTACCTAATTACCCCTCTACCATGTTTTAACATTGAAAATTCATGATAAGGGAATTCTGTAATTTCTATAACAATAGAGGAATTTTTGTTCTTAGCCGCTATCTAATTTATCTTCAACATACAGCTAAGCCTCGATAAAACAATACACAATATATTAATAACCTCGATTAAATAATATTTTTGGCTCGTCCTGACTTGAGACCAATGTGATAAATTAATAATTCACTAAATTTATAAGATAATACATTTTTAAAAAAAACACACACATGAGTAGCACTTGATATATAAATTAATAATCTCCTTATACATCAAAATTATATGACTTGAACCATGTATATTTTTATATGACTTGTATAGTGATCAAATATATGTGACAAGACAAGATATACCCACATCTATAGATATCTTATCTTTTTTTTTTTTTTTTTTTTTTTAACATTTTTAACTTAATTGCTAACATTGTAAATTTTTTTTTTCAAAATTCACACCAATTTTCCTTGCATTAGATGTTAAAAATATATATATTTCAGCAAAATTTCGTACTCTTATTAACTTTGAAGCTAAGAGAAAACCAAACCGAAAATTAGGTTTTTTTACAAACCGGTTCGGTTTTTGGTTTGTGAAATTCAAAAAACTGGAAAACCGGTTCAATTTGAAAAAAATTTCAAATCGGTTAACCGAAAACCGGTTTTACCCTAAATATAAAAGCAAAAATTTTTTTTTTACTCCTCACGCAGTCACGGTACTCCATCCACATTCGTCTTTCACTCTTTCTCCGCCTCCATTCACCAAATCTGAAAATTTCAAATCTCCAAACTTCGTCTTCGTCAACGTCTGTTCGTCACTTCCAAAGTTCCAGACTCCAGTTCGCAGGCAGTTCCAGTCTTCCACACCGTGACTCCATCCACAGTCCACACCGTGAGTCGTGAGCAGAGCTGACTCCACACCGTGAGCTACTTAGCAAAGCTGACTCCATCCATTGTCCAGTCACCGTGAGCTACGTTCGTCGTTCGCCAGCACCCAGCACTCCAGCAGACTCCACTCTCCAGTCAGGCAGTCACGCCATTGTCCCACCGTGAACAGACTCTACTCTCCAAGCTCCGATCTGGCGAGCTTCACGTTCACAGTCCACAGATCACTCTCCAGTCAAGCCACCGTGAGCAGACTCCACCGTGAGGCTTGAGTAGACCCACCCTGAAGAGACTCCACCGTGAGCACTGAGCAGACCCACCGTGAGCAGACTCTTGATTTGAACTTTGTTTGTTTGTTTTGTTGAACTCTTTGATTTGAAGACAGTTTGTTATGTTTTATTTCATCATTGATTTAAATTTCTTGTTTAGTTCACGACTATGATTGTGTTTTTGAATTCTACATTGACTCAGGTATATGGACAAGAAGCTTCAAAATAAGTTATATGCCATGCTATTTGTGCTGAAGTTTTTGTTTGTTTTGTTATAATGGTTGTAGTTTAAATCAGGTGGTATTTGGGTGGTTTTTGGTAAATTGATTATTGTGTTTTTCTCGTTGGGGTTATTTGTTAGTTTGTTATAATGGTGGTTGTTTAAATCAGGTAGTATTTGGGTTTCTGGTAAATTTATTATTTTGTTTTCTCGTTGGGATTATGTTATGATTATATTAATCTTTCTCAAATGTTTGGTTCAGTTTATTCATGGATGCCAGATTTTAAAATTCTATTGAGATTTCTGATATGTTGTCTCTATTCAATTTATATTTTTCTTGAGATCCTACTATGGGTTCCATAGAATTGAACTACTTCTTAGACTTATCCATGAGAGTTTTCGTTTTGATTTTCTTATTTCATATACTCTGGATAGTCCATTGTACATCCATTAATTGCAGATGATGATCTTTTTCGAGTGCCATACTGCCATTAACAAATCCGGGGAGTGCGGAATCAAGAAACTCCACTAACACCAACATTGTGGGATGAAGATTATTTATGTCATATTAAGTTTTTTTACTTTGTAATTTTATGTTATGCATTTGAGTTTATTTATGAATATTGACTATTCAGTAATGTGTAATTGAATTCTTTATTTTTTTTATTTCATATTCTGGATTCAGTATCTGCAAATAAGTAATTTAATGTATTTTTCATACAAAGAATACAACAATTATACAAAATAAAATAGAAACATAGTATGAAATTATATATAAAATAATAAATATTTGAATTTAGGGACTTAAATGAAACATTGAAGAATTTTAAGGATTAAAGGATAATTTGAAAACCGGTTAATCGGTAACCGAACCGAAAATTCGGTTCGGTTTACATTTGGTTTTTAACCGAAACCGGTTCGGTTTTCGGTTTGGATAAACTGGTTCGGTTAGCCGGATTATCCCACCCCTACCCAGAATGCATAAATTATTTACTAGTTAATTATTTTTGGTTCTTGGATTCTCAATATTTAGGTTGGCCTTGGAATTATATATATATTACATCCACATGACTCATAAAGTACTCAAAAACATGCAAAAGATATCATCAAATTAGAGGTAAAATATCGATACCGCCGTGCACTTAACTCCGATATTTGTGAAAGAGAAATAAACTGAATATGTTCGAAAAATAGCTTAAAAATAGTTTAATATTAATATAATAATAAGATCAATTTTACAGAACATCTTGAATTAATATTATGATGTAGCAGCGCAAT